TTTATTAAAATCCAAATCGATCTCTCGAATACTGTAATTTATCTACTCCGAGTTCGTACTCGCGTGAAAAATAATCAAAAATCCGGGAAGTCGAGCGCCAACTAAAACAGCCTTTATAAAAGGATTTTTATACCGGCAGTTCAGCATACTCGTACGTCGAGTTTCAATATTACAAGTTCACCACGTTCTGGCACTTTCGTTCGACACGAATTGCTCTTTCATGTAAGCCCTGCAGATGCTACAATTTCGACGGCTGTGTGCTTGCTCGCTCTTCCGAGGATAAGCATAATTTTCGAACAGAAAGTACGCGATATAGCTGACCGTAGCAGTAATACGGTCCTGAAGATTCACCGAGTTTTATTGAAATTATTTCTAAGGGTTTCGTCAAATTTGTCTTTCAACAACTCGTACGTGCGTCCTTCGGAGCGAAAGGGTTAATCGTGTCACGAAACGCGAATGAATGCTTTTTTTCTAACGTAGCAATACTGTTATTGGAACACGAGAAGGATATATCCAGACGCAATAAAGATTCTCATAACGTACGAACTCCGTTCCACGTAGGAAGGGAAAAAAGAGAAGTGGCGTGGGCAGATGGAATCTTCGTGAAAGAAATAAAAGAAAAATCCCAATCGTTCCCTTTTTTTTTTTTTGTTCGGTTACAATGACCCGTTCGATAACCAGTAGTATTTCGAAAGGGCAAGGAACGAGCCAGGAAATTTCACGATTTCGTTGGATCTCGATTTTCTCACAGGATCGTTCCACTCTGCTCGACCGAAGAAATTCTTTTTCCCTCGGACAGAGGTAAAAGAAAAACCATCGGACGTTATACCGATCGATGGTCGAGGCGTACGTGAATATGCACGTGGAATTCGATAAACGTGGAATCAAAACATTCGATTTACGCGAAATCTATTTTTATCAATGGAAAATATGCTATCACTTCGCGGCACGTGGATCGTCGATGCAAGGCTATAGGTAGTCGATATCATTTCGAATCGACGATGATTGATCAATGACGAACACACGAATTCGATTAAGATCGCGTCTTGCTCGTTTTCGATGGCCCTTCGACGCTCGGTGGTCCATGGCTAGATCAATTTCGTAACAGTATCGATCGTGTAATATCGTTAGCGTTAAAGCATAATTGTTCAACGCGATGTATTGTCATTAGCTGGCCGTGTTACTGCACGTATGACGGCACAAGCTACAAAGGTGTGCTCGATCAACGATGTTGCCCAGGTCGGGCATCAAAGCATGCGAATCACTTCGACGTCCGTGCTCTTCTGATTTATGCTTCTTGCTCCCGGCACTGTTTGCCATTTCTGCGCAATTCAAACGAGTTTTCTTGCACGAATCCGAGCGTAAAGTCACTGAATTTCTGCCAGATTAATCGTGCAACCGCAGAGAAATGCAAATTCGATATCAGTCAAGGTTGTTACGTAGAAATTTGAATCTGTATATATAAAGACAAATGTCCTGACCACCCACTAAGAAGGGATTTTTAGAAATTCGACCCTTAAAAGTATAAAAAGGGTTAAAATCTATTTACACGTATTCGTCAATATCTCTTAGACCCGATGAGATATCGACTTGGTTTTTGCTTACGATTTTGTTCTAATCAACCTCTAAAGGCGCAAATCTAGATTTAGATTACTAGAAATTGATCACGAAAAAATAATACATCAATTATTACTTGAAATTCATCAAGAGCGGGCGAAGCCGGGACGGGGATGCTAGTTTTACATATTATGTAGGTAGATAGAAATGTCGGTGGGGAGGAGTAGGGTCTTCCGGTGTATCGCGATCGTATGTGACGGGTAACGCATGATTTATGATAGGGTGGACTATGAATACTCGCTATATTTACATTTTGATCCGGACCGCTCGCAGGACAGCGTTTCGTATCGTCAAGCGTTGTTAAAATAATGTTTCTCATCCGTCGTCACCGGTATATTTCTCTCTCTCTGTCTCCGGACCATCTTCTATTCGCGCTTGAAACTCTGACCGAAGATCGTGCGACCCAATTACCGGAATTAAAGCGACGCACGTATTTTTAGACGGCTCTCTAGACGATACCAACTCGCAACTAAATTGCATTTAAGAGTACTTGAACCGTCTACAAGCTGCCGGTTGCTTCGTAAACAGCCGCGTTAATCTTCTTCCTTGGAATTCCGTTGGTGAACCTGAATTTTTTCCGGAAGATTGCGTAGTCGAATGCATCGTAACGAAGACTCCTTCTCTCCCGACAATGAGTAAATGTGACGATTCTGTGCCGTTACGACATTCATTGACGTCCACGTTAAACGATTTACTGGTATAATACGTTACCGACGACTGGATTAACGTCAAGCTTCGTGTTCCAGCCGGATTAATAAGAAGTAACGATAAAGAAGAAAACAAGTGACGCACGTGACACTTTTTCTCGTGATACAATTTTAACGTCACTGCGTCTTTTATTCCCTCGACTTCTTCCCTTTACTTGACGTCCTTTTAAATCAGACCTGGACAACACGCGACCCTCCGAGCGATTTTATATTTCTATTGAAACTTTTATTTCAATTTTTGGGTCCACGAGAAAAATTAATTTTTACAATAAAACCATTTGGGTTGGCCAGGCCTGTTTTAAATGATCCTATTCGCAAAAGATTCGATTCTTCCTGAAAAATGACGGCACTTTTTCAGCCGCCTATTCCAAGGAGAAATATAAATCGAATCTGTAGAATCGGATGTCTATATTTTAATGCGATCGTAGAAACGTTAAAGAAGATCCATCCATGGCAGCATGCGGAATCTGTAGGATCGTATTCGCGATAAACGCAGGAGCAGAGTGCATCGCAAATACCATAGATAACACGGGTCGAATCGATAAACGACGATATTACTGATGTGCACGTCCTGCGAGTCGCATTTCACGATAAGGTGAAATTCACTTATCTCGTTCATTCTAGCGTCACCTTTGAACCCTTTCTTCCGTCCACCCTGTACCTTCTATACGAAATATCTCATTTTATCAGCACGTAAGAACCTTTCGCTTTCGGTTATCGATGAATCGGAAGCGATCCTCGAACCTCTCGTAAAAGAGACACGAATTGCTGCTTGAAATCCCGCAGGAGGACGGCAGACAAACACGGTTGAAGGCTTCCAGACGAAATTTCACGCGATACAAGCTCGTTTTTCTTTTCTGATAAATATATTTGATCGTCGAGAAAAAAAGGTCTATCGACGTGGTAATAAATTTCAAAACTACCTCGCTTCTTTTTTACATAAAACCGAATAAAATTGAATTAAATTTCAATTTCAGAGACTCGAATGAAGTTAATCAAAGTTATCGTAGCGCGGAAATTTCTGTGCCTCTTGTGAGGGAGCAAAGTTTACGCTCCCATTGGTTGGTTCTCTAGAAACAAAGCGACTACCAGCTATATCCATGTTCGAAAGCTCTGACGGTGTCAAGAGCGCTCCTTTAAAACGGAAGTTGCGGTCTTGAGATCAACACTCCTCGTCAATCTGTTCTATACAGGCTGTTAAAAGGATTTAGAGCTTACAGGATAACTAGCACTTGCTACCCCCGAATAACAAATGATTAGATAAGAGATTAATTAATATATTAGACGAACAGATTAATATTCGGATAAAATCAGTTCTTCTCCTTAATCGAAAATGTTGTTTAATTTAATTAATCCGGGTCTGAGGCAATCACGTTCGAAGTGGTCGCGTGCAAATTGTTCCATCGCACGTACACGCGACGAAGAAGATCGTTAAGGGTGCAGAAGGTCGGGTAAAGAGAAGCACAATTAATAACCGAAAAATCAATGCCGCCAGGTCAAGTACCGTGTACGTATAGATCGACCCCACCTCCTCCCACACTGTCTATTACCGCGTCACGGCGTGCCTAACCGTATGAATGAAAGCTAAACTAGAAAAGAACCAACGTCACGCGAGAAAGGGACGAAACGTACGAATCGAGGGAAAAGAGAGAAGAACACAGAGGGGAGAACGCATTCGACAGAGAGGGTTGTAAGGTAGAAGTTAAAATCGAGGAAGAATACAAAGTAGAAGGTAAGGGAGAACGAGATAGACACAGTCAAATGATAGGAAGCAAAAGGTTGTAAGAGGGTAGTCAAGATCATAAAAAATAAAACACGAAGAAACAACGTGCGAGGAATCAGAAAATAATGATGGAGGGTGCGAATGACGCTTAAAAATTGAAATGCAAATATTATCTCGAGAAAAACAGGAAAAAGCGAAGATGGAAATACAAACAATGGCAGAGGAAAAAGTGTAAGAAGAAAAGGGATTAGGATCTGAGGGATAACTGAAGGGTAACTGGGGGGGGGATAATGGTTTCCCTTACGCGTCAGTAAAGGAATCGTTTGCATTAGAAATAAGATATAATTAATATATAAACTGTTAACAGAAGATCTGTATATATGTAAATTAAAATATTTAAAATATTAAATATTAAAAATTCAAAAAAATTAAAATATTAAATATAATAATATGTTTATCATATATAAAACAAATATTTGAATAAATAGTCTATTTTTTACTGAACTTCACTTCTAATTTAATTGTACGTATTGATATCAATAATATCAATACTTTATTCCCAATTGATGTATATCGACACAGATTACTATCGATACGTATCGATACCAAATATCAATACAATTCAGAAATATGCCCATCACTAGTTTGCAATACTGTACCAACTTTCTCGTAGAAGGTGCAAGTGACGATTAAAAACCACTGCAAGAAAAGTGTCCAAGGAAAAGGGTTAGAAGAAGCTTAAGAAAATAAAAATGGAAATCCGAGAGATTGGCAAAAGAAACCGAGACGGGACTTACAGGTAAGAAGAAAGGATGCTGTATGAAGAGAACACGAAGGAAAATGTTGAAGAAAAACAGAGAAAGAGGGGGAGAAAAATAGAGGGAGAAAGAGAGAGGAGGAACAGCGCAGGCGGCACCCACTGCCAGGGTCACTCGTCGCTCCTCACCGAATGCTCTTGTACTCGGATGATTTCGCTCGCGAAACACTCAGTGCGCTGCAAGCGCTCCGAGCACGCGTATCAACTTTACGCTTTTGAAAGAGGGAAAAAAAAGGGATCAGGATCGACAGAAAGAGTTAAATGATCCCCCTTAACGCGTATCGAAAAGGTCGATCGAGTAATTAAAACACGCTTTGAATCAAACTCGCGCGGAATCGGTTCAGCTTATTTTTATTCCCTCTTGAACTGAAAGAAAAGAAAAGAAAGAAACTGATCGGGTGTTAAATGTTGAAAGAACATTCGGAGCCAAACGATATCGAGCGCATATTTTAGAAAGGGAAATCTAAAAGTGTCCGGTTCCTGGTGTTTAATGGGACAAAAAGTGTGGATAAAATATGGATTCGACGCGGCGACGGGATAAAAGGATCGTCGGGTGGAAGTTTTTTCAAATTGTTGCGAGTTGTTCTCGGGAAGAACCTTGAGAAAAAGTTGGTAAAGTGCAACGTGCCGTTTAGGAATATTGCTGTGCGTCTGGGAAATTAAAGAAATTGGGGAGAAAGTTTGAAGAGAAAAAGAAAGGTGCGATACAAATATTTTTCATGTAAAAAGATCAAAAAAAGGTAGCAGAAACACCTTTAAAAGAAATGGATCATCTTTTCAAGAATATTACCAGTACCCTTCGCTGAATCCCACCTTCTTAGGATTATCATCTATCTCTGTTTCTTTAATTAAAATTTTTTTCATCTGATTTACATTCGAGTAAAAAATGTCACGTTCTTTTCGCTAGATTACATTTCTTTCGAAAAGTTCTCACGTTTCTTCTTTTCCTTTTCCAATTAAAATTTTCCATTTCGTCGAAAATCGAATTTACTCTGGCATTTATAATTTTCTTCTTATTCTTTCGGTCCGCATTCTAATGTAAAAATTACAAGAGATCTTTACACTTTAAATTTTAGAGTTTAACAAAAGCTCGCAGGACGTATCGAATATGATTTTACCTCGATCAAAGGAGCTAGTAGAATCGACATCGGAAAAGAAGCCGTGTATTCTCGTTGCGACGGCAAATAAATAAGCATCGCACGCGTTAATCTACCGATGGTTCCGCGATTTTCGTTAACAGCTCGATTCGAGAAGAAGCGAAAGGGTTGAGCGTGGTAATTAGCGAGAAGAGTTCTATTCGCGCGAAATCATTTTCAAGCTTCACTTCGTCGCGATGAAAAGTGACGGTCGATTACACTGCTTTCTATTTTATCTCGTTAAAAAGTTGATGTAAAGCAAAGAATAATTTTGAATTTGATCACCCACCGTATCGTTTATCACATTTTTAGTAAGCGAGACGGTGATACACCCCACCGTGTACGTCCATTTTCATTCTGGCAATTAATATGTTAATACAACTTCCCACGATATTTTATGACACGACCCAGATAAATATACAATGCAGAAAATAAAAGCAGTATATTTCCTGTAAACGCAACGCTCAGGTATCCTTAAACACGTATAAATCACGTAAAAAATCATGAATAAAAAGTAAAAAAAAATTGTAAGCCTTCCTTTCACCTTTCGAAGAGACATTTCCAACTGGTTTATCCCGACTCGTCGGGCATAAATACACTTGCGACATAGTATCGCATTCTAGCAATATCAATTTTTCTCGAGAAAACGATGTTATCGGCGATAACCTTTATAATTGCAATAATTACAGCATCCATTTTCCAGATCCGCGTACGATTAATTGGAAGGAGCGTGTCAAGAGGAAACGAAGAGGAAGACGAAGGAATTCAAAACACAAAAGACGAAGAAATCCAGGGATCGAAAAATCAGTGGCAAGGATTTTCTTGTCGGACGATTCCTAATCATAGACTCGATTATCTCGATAGTCACCGGAGGAAATCGGTCCCGACTGGAAGTGACATAAAAAGATCTCACCCTATAGACTAATTTGATCGCGATTGACTCCGTGAAACTACCGTGATACTTGAACAAAAATCTCGTTTGCATTTGCTGTTTTTCTTTTCGCAAGAAGGCCTAGACATCGAAGGCCAAATCGTAATCGACTTTCGAGTCAATTAGTAATTTGTATCGAAACGACTAAGGAAAGTAAGAGGGAAGGTTTCTATTTTTCTGTTAGAGCGAAAAGGATACGTGACTCCGATGGAGAATTAAAGATATTGAAAAGGATGAAGGAAGATTCGTTCAGCGTCCGTGATAAATTGACTGACTTAAATACTTATTGCGAAGATCCGTGGAAAATCGTTACGTCGATCCAGTAATCCGAAGAGGAGCGAAAAAGAAATAGCTTTGCAACCGTCAACGAACAAAGGATTAAGATAAAGCATTGCAACGTTAAATTTATCCGAAAATTGAACGAAAGCTGGAAAGACGAACGTTCGATATTTATAATGAAAACGTTAGAAAAATTGAAACGATCGATCTCCTTCGAGACCGGCAATCATGAAGGATTAAGAGTGAAAGCTTCTCAGTTAAATTGAATAAGTGAAATATTTATAACGAGGATCGAAGAAAAACCGTGCTGTGTTATCTCTGTAATCGAAATCGTAACAGAAGTGGATTTTCATTGAAGAGGAAAAATGTGTGGGTAGTTTTCGAGAAGTTCTGACCAATAGCCAACGAGAAGGATTAAATGGGAAAGCTTGTTCGTTCGGTTCTAATCAAAAGGACTTCCCCATTTTCGGTATCCGTGAAGATTAACGGGGAAACTTTACTACAAATCTGTGATGCGGAAGGTTAAATTAGAAACAATTCCATATAAGTGAGATACGGTGATTGAGAATATTCTGCAAATCGATACACAACACAGACAATTGATAGAAGATCGCACGATTTACCATTGTGACTCCTTTTACGTATATTCTCGCGAGTTAATAGCGAATATTAGTCAGCATGAGTGTCAAGTAATTATGTCATGGTTTCACGATACGCGGACACACGTACCTGGAAATGCGGGTTAACGCGTCACTGTTTGCACAGGTGAGTGTAAAAAAAAAAAAAGTTTCTTTATTTTCTATTTATATCACCCGACGAGGAAACAGACTAAAAATAAAAAGTTGTTTGGTTAATTAATTAAGATAATTCCACTAGAGATGGACCGCGTTATTAACGCGTTAAACAGTGCGGTGAAAACGGATCCACACAGTGCGATACGCTGCAATTGCAATTATTCAGAAATACGATCGTTTCATTTTGCAATTTCAACTTTCCACTTGCTAACTCATGAAATTAATATTACCCGGAGTTATTAATAATCTTGGGGAAATTAAATTGAAATATCAATGACATCGCTTGAAAGTAGAATATGGTAGAATAGTTCTACAGTTGTGATGTTTAATGTACGTAGTATCGATAATTAATCAGCCATATTTGGAGATACCTTCGCAATTACCGTGAGATTAATGTTGCGATATAGTCAGATTTCAATCGTTCATATCGCTGAATTGGGCATTTCAGTTTGAACCTCCGGAATTATGCAATAATCAAAGCAAATATAGTGGAAATCGAAACGGCTCGTATTAAATTTCGTTTTGATGGATCAAAGTAAGCGTCGGTGAATTGACTGCATCATTAACACTAGATTTACGAACATTGACTATATATCTTTTTTTATTGAAATCCGACTTTTTGACGGGTATATTAAAATGCAATTTTTTTGTAAATTATTTATTTAAAATCTATAGATTTTTATATACTGTCAAATTGACGGGTTTCGTAAATCTAGTGTTAAACTACTAAATTATAGAAACACAGTGATTAGAGTGATCCTTGGTCGACGCAACAGTGGATCGCTATGATTCCCAGGGTCATTACAATAATTAAATTGACAATTTATCGAGAAACTCTGTAGATGTTTCGTTTGTTATAATAACGAGTGAGTGGGCAGAGCCGATTTCAATAATGAGACAGGAAAGAAAATAAAACGTGATAAAGGCGGTGCCACATCGATGTGTTACATAGACGTTACTAAACTCGCGATTTATGGCTGAGATTTCCCAGTTTACTGCCTCGAAAAGATTAATGTCGTTTCAGGAAGAGAATACGCGATAATCGATGATCGGCTTTCCGATGAATCAACCAGTTTATAAAACACTTTTCATCGTCCGCTTCTCGAACGAAGGAAACAACCTTCAAAGGGTGAGATTCATATTTTCTCATTTTGCACACTGAATAAAATATGACAAAAAGCGTGCTTTATTTTGGAGAAACCTCACAAATAGCCGAACATTCGTCAAATGGAGAACAATTTGTGCCGACGGGATAAAAAAGGAATTTTCGTTCTTTATCGAAATATCTACACCTGACCTTTTCTTTGAACATTCCAAGCGTCTTCATTCGGTAATATTTACATTTGTTTTACGACGTCGCGATGGAGGAAAGGGGAGAAAGGTTCGAGTAGGAAAAATGGCGAACGATTCGCGTCTGTGCCGAGAACTTTCGAAAAGACTGATGAACCCTGTCACGAACAAGAGCTTTGACAAAGGAATAAATTGCACCCATTGCTCGCGCGACTAAAATATAACGTCATTCGAATGGAATACATACTTACAGCTGGCCTAATTCGATGGAACCCGACGTGAAATTATTTCTCACCAAGATAAATTAATTATTATTCATCGAACGTTTGACATTTACCTTTCTATTTGTACGATTGAATTCAGTGGTTTAAAGGAGAAACAGGGTAAATGTGAATCAGTGTTTCGTTGTGATTTCAATGAACCCAGAAACCAGTCTGAAACTCTCCGATGCAATTAAGGTTTGACGATGGCGAGACCCTTTATGTTCAACGAGCTGGAAAATCGCTCCATTTCAAATACCAGCCATTTGTAACTAACGACAGAGAATTAAGACAATCTATTTCGAATAATCAACCTTCAGGTGTGCTTTATCTTTGGATACATTTGTGAAACTTAAATATTCTTCTTTCTTTTTTAATTTATCATCATCTACCTTGATTACTTGGACTAATTAATTGTAAAACAAATGGGCGACTATTCAAATAAGATTTTCCAGCATTTCAACTGGAAAATCTGAGGAAAATCCTAGTCGAACTGGATGTTAACTACACCTTGATTCCCTTCCATTCACCGATAACGTTCGCTCTTATCTTACTCATGCTTGAAACGCTTCGTTATGCTATGCATACCGAATACAAAGTCTTGTCGGAGTTGGACCGATGTCGGCCGGCCCAGCCGGCTCTATCATTGTTTGATTACTATACATTAAGGGGCATCGAATATCGCCAAGTTAATTATTCTTGTTCGACGGTTGACAACCGTTTATAAGTGCTGCATATACATGGAGGGATTAAAACACGATTAATATGGGAGATCTTTTATTCCTTTACGGTTCCGGGTTATATTCTGTTCCCAGAGGGTGTCGCTTACCCTTCACCATTTCTTGTCCAGTTGGGAATAATGTTCTTAGTTTTTTCGAGGGATGCAACGACGAGTTACTTGTCGTTCGGAAACTTTATATCTCTATAAACAATCAGTCCCACGACACCCGATAGCTGGTTTTTCGGACCAGCACCTACCATATTTATTGTCACATGTTTTCTCTGCTACCGAAGGCAACCATAAATTTCAAGTCAAAGTAGAAACAGCCGTTCCTAGTACGACTAGTTATAACGTTTTCCAATTGAAGCAATACCAACGGTACAATCTAATTCGCAGCGACGTTTAATTATACCAATGTTCGATATAACCACGTCCTCGATTAGTCGTTCGTTACATACGATTTAGCTTGTTCGTTAATTACTCGAGAATGAAAAACGACTGGTTAACAATTCTCGCTGGAATAGCGGTGTCGGGTCTGTCGTTTTCGAGAGCGCATCAACGATCTCGTTTGCATAAGCGATGCATTTTTGTGGGGCACCATTGGAACGAACGATCTCTGGAGGCGAGAAAACTGTTGGATAATAAAGTTTCAACCCCGGCTCGTTTTCATCGGTTTCTGCTGCGCCCAAATCCCACACGCACCAGTTACAAATATTTACGCGACACTTTATGCCGAGCAATTTTCTTCATCCTCTTTGCTTCGAGAGCAGAAACGAATAACGCAGGAGAACATCCCTTCCTCGTCGTATTTCGACGTGAATTCTCATAAACGCGGAACATTTCGATTATAACGATCGCAGAGAAGAGATCGTGTTTTTATTTTATACTAGCATTGCACAATGTTTCTCGAATTTACGTAAATTTTCAAAAAGCTTTTCGACGGCAATGTAATTATAACAATAATTAACCCAGATAATCAGATTCTACTGAATCGGAAAAAACCTTCCTCCTACCTTTATCACGATGCAATAGATATCAAAGTTACAGGTAAAAACCTTTTACACAAAGGTAATCAAAACCGAAATAAGAGAAGGGATCATTATCTTTCATCCATTGTTTTACCATTAAGCGTAATGGGAGAAGCAAATAGACTAGCGGAATAAATTCTGGACTCTTTTAAATTTTTACTTAAAAATTTATCCAAATTATTTAATATATAATCATTTATATTTTATATTCTAATCATTGTTTTCTAATTTTAAGGCGTTGCTTATATAAAAAAATCAGTAAAAATACCATTCACAGCCATACTTTTAATACACAATAAAAATTACAATTTCAACGTTTGATCACCCACTGTAGTTACAGAGAATTAGGGTAAATGGAAGAGAAAAAAGAAAAAAGAGTAAAGTAGGATGAAAGAGATACGCGTGTTTTTCGACGTCCCTTCTAATAATAAACTTTGCTTTCCATCCCTCTAATCAAAGACAAGGAGGAGACGATAACGGCGAAGCTTAACCAGATAAATAAGCATGCTTGATCCAAGTCGTTCTACCAAATAATTTTTTGTCGTGGTATAATCTTCCTGAGAAACCTACTGACTTGACGTGTCAGCTCCTGAAGGAACAATCAGGACAACGCGAGAGCCAGGGTACTGTTTTAAGTACGGTCAAATCCACATCTACACATATAGCCAACAAGTTAAACCATCCCCCTTATAACTGATGCCTCGTCTTTGCGAGGAGAAATGAAGCAAATGCGGAGGCGAACTGAAAACACCTCGTCGTTTGATGCGAAACTCTCGCTGAAATCCCTCACCAATTTATCCAAAGTTTTCATCGTTAGAACTTGGGAGGAAAAAAAAAACTAATGCTCGAAGAAGATCGCTATCACGAAATTTTTTCACGATTCAGAATATGCTATTTTATCAAGAACAATTAGGAACGTAAGGAGAACAAAACAGATACCCGTGGAATAACCCAACATTCCCCGTTCGAGAGTTAATTAGAACAACGTAATTATCGTTTTTAAGCTGTTCCATGCTATTGCCACGATTAATCTTGCAATATCTCCCAAGTGCTGGCAATGTTGTTTCAACAACTCCCTGAATCCTCAGTGACTTGCATGCCTGTCCTTCACCCTTGCATTCCATCTTTCTCCGCGTTTAAACTATGCATTCATCAGAGAATATCGCGCAGTCACCTTCATCGATAAGACATTATTCACTTTCAGACACTCGATCCCTTCTTTTCAGTACCAAACATTCTTCATGCATACTTAAATCTGTCGAACTTTTCGACAAACGTCGTCCGTCACTGTTCACTTGGTTGTTCTCCAAAAACTCTTTCTCTCGCAATAGGTCCTCCGTAGAAATTAGATTGCCAGTTCGAACTTTAGGTAGATTGAAATTTGATTAATTAATTTCATTCACAGCGTATTTCTATCGTCGACGATCGACGCGTTAATATATTTTTCTTCGTTTCAACGAATATTCCACGATTGTACGGTTGTTTACGAATGTGTATCGGAGCTGATCGACGAATTTTCTAAACGGGTCGGAGATCGAGTTAACAGACGTTGCCACTGTCCAAATTTCACAACCGCCAAGGCCGTCCACGATTCCTCGACGTGGTGCTTTCGCGTGGACAGTATTTCGCGTTAAAATTAGACAAGGAGTCCCTATAGAGTTGACTCACCGTT